TCTCATTGTGCTTTTGATTTGTATTTCCTTGATGATTAGTGATGTTGAACATCTTTTCATGTGTCTGTTAGCCATTTGTTATGTCTTCTTTGGAAAACTGTACTCAGATCTTCCACCCATTTTTTATTGGATTTTTTTTTTTTTTTTTTTTTTTTTTTTTTTTTTTTTTTTTTTTTGCTATTGAGTTGTATGAGTTACTTATATGGTAAATACTAACTCTGTACCAGATAGATGGTTTGCAAATATTTTCTCCCATTCCCAGGTTACCTATTAATTTCGCTGAATGTTTATTTCTGTGCAGAATCTTTTTATTTTTACTTTTGATGCTTACTTATTTTTGTTTTTGGTGCTTGCTATTTTGGTTCAATACCCAAAACGCTGTTGTCAAGACCAATGTCAAGGAGCTTTCTCCCTATGTTTTCTTCTAGTAGTTTTACAGCTGAGGGTCTTATATTTAGTTTTTAAGCCATTTTGACTTAACTGTTTTGAGTGGTGTAGGAGAGGGGTCCAATTTCATTATTTTGCATGTCAATATCCAGCTTTCCCAACACCATTTATTTATTTTTTTTAATTTATTTATTTTGAAAGAGAGAGAGGCAGAGAAAGAATACCAGGCAGGCTCTGCACTGGCAGTGCAGAATCCAATGTGGGGCTCAAACTCTCGAACCATGAGATCATGACCTGAGCCAAAGCTGGACACTTAACCAACTGAGCCATCCAGGTGAAAAGACTATTATTGGCTCTCTTGTCAAATGTTAATTGATGATATACACATGGGTTTATTTCTGGGCTCTCAATTCTATTTTTCTGGTCCACATGCCTGTTTTTATGCCATACCATACTGTTCTGATTGTTTTACCTTTACAGTAAAGTTTGCAATCAGGAATTTGATGTATCCATCTGGTTCTTCCTTCTCAAGATTACTGTGGCTATTTGGGGTCTTTGTGGTTCCATCCAAATTTAGGATTGTTTGTTCTATTTCTGTGAAAAATCCCATTGGGATTTTGATAAGGATTGCACTGACTCTATAGAAGGCTTTGGGGAATAAGGAAATTTTAATGATATTAACTCCTCCAATCCATTAGCACAGAATATTTTTCCACTTATTTGTGTCTTCTTCAATTTCTTTCATGTCTTACAATTTTTCAGTATACAGATCTTTCACCTCCTTGGCTAAATTATTCCTAAGTATTTTTTTGATGCTATTGTAAATTGGTTATTGTCTTTATTTCTTTTTCTAATAGTTCATTAATAGTGTATAGAAACACAACTGATTTTTTATGTTGCTTTTGTATCCTTTAACTTTACTGAATTTATTAGTTCTAACAGTTTTTTGGTGTAGTCTTTAGGGTTTTCTATGTATAAAACTGTACCATCTACAAACACAGACAATTTCACTTCTTCCTTTCCCATTATAGTATCTTTTATTTCTGACAGGTGTAATTTTAATGAATAAGAAAACACAAAGTAAAATATACCTTAAAGGTCCTCAAAATAATATAGCTGTTAAACACATGAAGAGATGTTTAATTTCACTCATAATCAGAGAAATATAAAATAAAGCTACACTAAATATCATTTTTTACCTACCAGACTAACAGAAATTCAAAAGTCTGACAATATATTCTCTTGCACAGATTAAATAGAAACTGGCACTTTCAGATATTCCTAGTGGATATACCAAATTGTACAAGAGCTACAAAATAAATTCATAATTACAATGGAAATATATGACAAAATGACATGGACATTTACACTTCGACCTAGAAATCTCATTTCCAGAAATTTACCCTGAAGATACTCATAATACACAAAAACACATCTGTAACAAAGTTATTTTTTGCAGTATTGTTTGTGATTGCAAAATACTACGAGACATAAAATTTCATATGCAGTAAATTGGTTGAATATGTAAATATTCTCTGTCATAGAAGGAAACAGGATCCTAGGGGAAAGGGTTTATTCCAGGACTGGAAAAGGGAACATTCAAGATGAGCCTGGGATATCTTAGTATGCAAGAAAATAAAAAATGTGCTCAAAGAATGATGGGTAAACAGTCCAAGTAATTGAAAGCAAACATAACTACTGAGGCTTCTATCTCCCAAAATTTCCCCAAAACAATACAAACAAAAAGGGAAAAATAAAACCTCCCAAAAGCCATGCCCTCAGAATTAAAGACAGAATGTACACACTTCAAAATAACTTTTAGTAAAAAAAAGAAAATTACCAAAACACAGAATATGATTTCTTACAATCATGTTCTACATTTGGAACTTAAGAGACAAAACAATTAAATGAAATGAGTTATTCTGGATTACATCTTGAATCAGGGTTTAAAAAAATGTCAAAAAGGGACATTACTAGGACAATTGACAAAAGTTGAATACGGAATATGTTTTTGATAATAGCATGGTAATGATGCTCAATTTCCAAAGTTTGATTACATTGTGGATATAGTCTCAGAAAATACTTAAATAAATATTTAAGAATAAAAGAACACGATGTGTTCAACTAATTCACAAATCATTCAAGAAAAAAAGTAATATATAATTATATTGACAGAGAAAGCAAACTAAAGAGTATATATGGCAAAATGTTAACAATTAATGAATAGAGTTTACAGAGATATCTTTGTTTTATTCTTGAAAATCTGCTGTACATTTTAATTTTTTTAAATAAAGACATAAAAATCACTGGATGAAAGACTTCTGCTTTCAGTCAACATAGAGAAACAGTCATTGCTTTATCCATCTGCATAAAACAACTAAAAACTGTGCAAAATACATGGAACAACAGCATTCAAGCCGCTGGACATCACGCAGTGAAGGACAGTAAACCTTGAGAGAGTCTACAGATCAATGAACTGAGCCCTAAGGTTATCCCAGCTTACTTAATGGAGAAAATGTCCAGGCTAAAACCCAAGTTGGAAGAGCCAAGCAGAACTCAGCAATCTCTCTCTGTAAGTTAAAGAGACAGAGTTCAAAGCAGAGACACCAAGACAGATTACTGGAGAAGAGACAAGGACCGAGTAGTACAGAGAACAGAACTGCACAAAAAGAAAACTCAGCAGATCTGCAAAGGTTCTCCCTTGATCGTTTAGCTAAGTACTGATTAGCTCACAAATATGAGGAGACTACTCTACGCCAAGGTAATAACCCACCTACAGTGATCACACGGAATACTGTCTAGAGCTCACATAAGACCATGGAATTATGCCAGGGCCTAACACCCAAAATGTAAAATCTCATAATATCAGGAGCATCCTTTGAGTACTGAGAATGATCTTGCCTCAGTAGAAGAGATAAATTCATCCTAGAATACAAGTAGCTCTGATCCACATAACAAATTAAAAGCAAGAGCCAAAAAGATAAAACTGTCTCCAAGTAACCAACTGTCGCCAATCCCAAAACAAAGCTCAAGAATATTTCTAAAAATATATAAATACTCAGTACCTAAATAGGTAAAATTCATAATGCCTGGTATCAAATCAAAGACTACCAAGCATAAGGATGCAGAACAATTAGTCAATCAAAACTGACCCCAGAAGTAACACAGATGATAAAAGAAAGAAAGAATAAAACAACTACTATAACTGTATTCCAAGAAACTAAAGGAAAAAATAAGTATTTAAGTAGACACATGGAAGATATAAAAAAAAGATTCAAACTGAACTGTTACAGATAATTCATTTATTTATGACTTGTTCATTTTCAACATGGAAATGGCTCAGCTACTCAGTCTCTGTTTTCTCCTCTCCAATTCCTCCACCCTAAAGCACAGGTGTGGGACAAAAGGAAAAGCTGGATTTGGGCAGGTATGAAGAAACAAAGGAATAGAACACAAGAGGCATATTTTCAAAAGGTACAATTTATAGTTATAAGGTAGTAAGGACTAGGTGTGTAATGTACAACATGGTGGCTTTAATTAACATTGCTCTATGATATATAGGAAAGTTATTAAGAGAATAGATCCTAAGAGTTCTCATCACAAAAGGGATTTTTTTTTTCTTTTCTTTTTATTGTATCTATATGAGATGATGGATGTTAACTAAACCTATGGTGGTAATCATTTCACGATATATGTGAATCGAAACATCAAGCTGTATACCTTAGGATATCAATTTTTTCTCAATTAAAAAAAAAGAAATGGCCAATTTATAGGGTCAGATCTATAACTCCAGTGAAGCTCACGAACTGGAGAAACCTATATGAAAGAAGAGGAGATGATACTGAAACAGAGGACTCATTCAAAGTCTTTAAGGACCAGACAGAACTCCCATTTGTATTGCTCAGCCCTCACAAACATGCAACCGTTCTTCCCCCAATTCAGAAGAAAAGAAGAGGAAAAATTATTAAGGTGTGTAATATTTCACCTTTAATACCTTCAACGAACAAGCAATGGTGCAATTTTGGCCTTTATTTTTATGGCTCTTAATTTTAAATTTTATACTATATTTTTATAATCTTAGAGATAAAAAAACATACTGCTTATCCAAAGACCTTTTGAGTGTGATTAAGTCATCAGTATACAAGTATTTTAGTAACGAATGACAGCAAAGAACAGCTACATGTTAAAATATTCCATGTGATTCACTACATTAACGATTCACAGAATAAATTAGGGAAGGTGGGTTATAATGGAAGTTTGTGTCAAAAGAAAATAGCAGGTCTCAAGAGACCCAAGGAAGAAGGGTAATAAAGAAACAAAATTTGTAAAAAACGGTTGTCAGACCCAACTAAATCATTACAATAAGTTAGACATCTACTTTTTTTTTATTTCAAAATTCAAAAATTTCACATCTACCATCTCAGATTCAGGCGGTAGGGCCCAAAATTTATAATTTTTGAAATTTTCCCCCGTGAGATTCTGATAATCAGCAAGATTTTAGAACCACTGCCCTAGAATGCTAACTTGGGTATGTTCATGCAACAATATGATCTATTTGCCCTAAGCACAATTATAATGCCATACACAATAAGTAATGAAATTATTCTTCTTACCTTGGATACATTGCTGACATAATTCATTTGAACAGTACTTTCCTTATCAACTTGATTACAAAGGTTCTGTAAAGTAGATGCATATTCTTTATCACTTTTTATTCTCAGAGCCATAAATTTCTTCACTGTTTCCAGTAATCGTAATTCCCAGTCTTGCAATTTTAACACAGCTTCATGTGAATTCTTCAGGTCACTCCCAAACCCCATTTTTGTAAGGCACTGTCTTATCCTCCACTCCGTACTGTGAGCCTTCTAATCAGCACATATCTGTGTATGCAAACAGAAGAAAAAACACCTCTTAAATCAAAAGGAAATTTGTTTTCAAGGCAAAGTTATGGCCCATTCTTTTTAGAGTTTAAAAAAAAAATCACTACAACTGAATGCTTTCACCCAAATATCAGGAACAAGATGAGGATGTCCACTCTCACCACTTCTATTGAGCACCATATTGGAGGATCTAGCCAGTACAATGAGATACATGAAATGATTTCCATGGAAATTGAAAAGACGTGAAACTATCTTTATTTGAAGAGGATGTGAAATTGAATATAGAAAGAAATGCAATTAAAAACAAGTTTTAGAATTAATAAATGACCTCAGTAAGATTACAGGGTAAAGATCAAAAGACAAAAATCAACTGCATTTCTACACACTAGCAATGATCAATCTGAAAAATGAAAGTAAAAACCAATTCCATATACCATAGCATTAAAAAGAATAAAATAGTAATAAATTTTATACAATAAATTAAAACTTGTGCTCTTAAAACTACAAAATATTGTTGAAAGAAATCAAGGAATTTATTCCTTATAATTATTTCCAATTATTTAGGTTGGAAATAAATGGAAAGACTCATGTTAATGGATCCAAAGGACTTAATATTGTTAAGAAAGCAATATTCTCCAATTTGACCTACATATTTAACTTAATCCATATTAACATATAACCTAGCTTTTTTTTTTTTTTACAGAAATTGAAAAGAGAATCTTAAAAAAACCTTAAAGAAGAAGAACAAAGCTGGAAGAGTCATACTTCCTAATTTCAAAACTTACTAAATAGCTACAATAATCAGGACAATGTGGTCCTGGCATATGGAGAGACACAGAGATCAATGGAATAGAATACAGGGTCCAGATGTGAATCATCACATTTATGATTATATGATTTTCTACAAGAGTGCCAAGTGTATTCATTCAGAAAAAAGTCTTTCAACTAATGGTGGTGGGACAACTGGATTTCCACATGCAAAGGAATGAAGCAGAATTCCTTTCTTAGACCATACACAAAAAATTTAACTCTAAAGGGATGGATAATGGGCTTAAATATCAGAGCTAAAACTATAAAATTCTCAAAAGAAAACACAGTAGTAAATCTTTGTGGCCTTGGCTCAGGAAACGGTTTCTTAGATATGAGACACCGTTAAGAAAAGGCAACAAAATTAAAATACATAAATTGGATTTAATCAAATTTAAAACTTCTGTATTTCAAAGGTCATCATTAAGAAAGTGAAAAGACCATAGAATGGGAGAAAATATTTGCAAATACTTATCTGATAAGGGACTTCTATCTGGAATATATAAAGAATTATTAAAACTAAGTAATAAAAATACAGTTAAATAAATTAAAAATGGGCAAAGGATCTGCATAAACACTTTTCCAAACAAGATTTAACTAGTTTTGCTAGTTAAATGTCCAATAAGCAGATGAAAAGATGTTCAGTATCACTAGCCATTAGGAAAATACCAATCAAAACCACAATGAGATACCACACCACACCATTAGGATGTCTTTAACCAAAAGATAGATAATATCAAGTGTTGGAGACTGTGAAGAAATTAGAACCCTCATACACTGCTGGTGGAAATGTAACCTGGGGCAGTTCCCCAAAGTTAAACATACAGTTATCGTATGATCCAGAAATTCCACTTTTAGGTATATACCCAAGAGGAATGAAAACATATGCCCAGACAAAAACTTGCACATGAATGTTGTGGCAGAATTATTCATAATAGTTACAAAGTGGAAACAATCCAAATATCCATCAACTGATGAACAGATAAAACATATTATATACACACAACAAAATATTACTAGCAATGAAAAGGAACAAAGTAATGATAAAAGCTACAATATGGATGAACCTTGTAAACATTATGCTAAGTAAAAGAAACACAGACACAAAAGACTGACATACTGTATGATCTCTTTATATGAAAAGTCTAAAATCCAGACAGCGGGTAGATTAGTTAATAGTTGCCTGGGCTGGCAAACTTGGGAAGAAATGAGTGACTGCCAGCAGGTACTGGCTTTCATTCTGGGGCAATGAAAATGTTCTAAAACTAATTGTGGTGATGGTTGCACAACTCTGTGAACAGAATAAAAACCACTGAATGATACACGTTAAGTGGGTGAATTCTTCAGCATGTGAGTTATATCTCAATAAACTTGCTTTAAAAATCACTGCAGCATAACTGGTGATGATCTAAAGGTCAGGTCTCAGAAACCTCCCCAAAATATCCTGCTTGTTTGCTATAAATCCCCAAAACTATGATAGAATTTATTTTGCTCTCCAGACTCACAAAACTTCAGGCAATGAATCGTCTAGGGCCAGTTAGAAGAAATGAAGAAACACACCTCTTATTTTTAGTTTTGGCTCATCCATACCAGAAGTCACTTTCTTGTTAATTCAGCTGAGATCCTCTACATTAGACAGAAAAATAAGAACAGATTTATGTGTCTAACCTCAGTGATAACATCTAAAGAGATGATAAAAATGTAGGTTTTCCATATAGAGAACAAATTACGATTTTTCTCCAACTGAAAACTGTCCAGTTTTATGATCTATCAAATAAGCAGAGGGGAGAAAAAGGTTGTGGAAAACTGTGCTTCATCAGTTCCCAAAGCAGCAACCAGAACGCAAAATGGACCTTAACATAATTAAGTCAATACAAAGTAATTGACTTATTCAACTTTAATATGGAGTAGCATAATTCCAGTTTTTTCACTTTGGATATAGTTGCTTTAAAATTTTTACTTTGAAGAGCACCTAGCTCAGTCAATTGAGCGTCTGACTCTTGTTTTCTTCTTGGTTTCTTCTCAGGTCATGATTTTGCGGGTTTGTGGGTTTGAGCCGCATGTCAGGTTCTGTGCTAGTAGCATGGAGCCTGCTTACAATTCTCTCTCCCTCTCTCTGCCCCTCCCCCACTCGCATTGCCTCTTTGTCTCTCAAATAAATAAAATTAAAAATAAATAAAATAAAATTTTTACTTTGATGTACTTACTATATCTTCACAGAACACAAAAATTCAAAAAGAACATTTTTCTGTCATTTTACCTACAGCTCATCTAAGTCTCAGTAGAAGATACATTCTACCTCATCTCATGGTTTTGTTTTGTTTTGTTTTGTTTTGTTTTGTTTTTTTAAGTAATATCTACACCCAACATAGGATCTCACAATCCTGATATCCAGAATTGCATCCTCTACTGACTGAGCCAGCCAGGTGCCCTTGTTTTTCTTTAAGTTTTTAAAATCTAGTTAGTTAACACATAGTATAATATTGGTTTTAGGATAGAATTTAGTGATTCATCACTATATATGTATGTATGATATATATATATATATATATATATATACACCCTTTTATGATTCATCACTTATATATAATATCCAGTGTTTATCACAAGTGCCTATCACTCACTTAGCCCATCCTCTATCCACCTTCCCTCCGGCAACCCAGTTTATCCTCTATAGTTAACAGCCTCTTATGATTTGCCTCCCCCTCTATTTTCCCCTTACCCTATGTTCATCTTGTTTTGTTTCTTAAATTCTACATATAATTGAAATCATATGGTATATATCTTTCTCTGATGCACTTATTTCGCTTAGCATAATACATTCTAGCTCCATCTACGCTGTTATTAATGGCAAGATTTCATTATTTTTGATGGCTGAGTAATATTCCATTATATACATACATATATATATATATATGTGCCACATCTTCTTATCCATTCATCAGTCAATGGACATCTGGGCTCTTTCCCTAATTTGGCTATTGTTGACAATGCTGCTATAAACATCAGGGTGCATGTGCCCCTTTGAATCAGTATTTTTGTATCCTCTGGGTAAATATCTAGTAAAGCAGTTGCTGGGTCTTAGGATAGTTCTATTTTAAACTTTTTAAGGAACCTCCATACTGTTTTCCACAGTGACTGAACCAGTTTAGATTCCCATCAACAGTGTAAGAGGGTTCCCCTTTCTCTTTATCCTCACCAACATCTGCTGTTTTCTGTGTTGTTACTTTTAGCCACTCTGACAGGTGTGAGGTGCTATTTCATCATGCTTTTGACTTGTACTTCCCTGATGAGTTATGTTGAGCATCTTTCCATGTATCTGTTAGCCATCTGTATGTCTTCTTTGGGACAATGTCTATTCATATCTACTCTACATTTCTTAATTGGATTATTTGGTTTCTGGGTGTTGAGTTTGATAAGTTCTTTATAGATTTTGGATTTATCCCATGTTTTCGATGGAAGATTAAGGAATCATTTTTGAGGCCAAAGAAATGTGAAACATTTTCCTTTCTAACTATATCTAGGATTGTGGTTCATTTTATCCCGTAACTTAGGATAAATATCACTTCTACTTCCAAATACATCTAGCTCTGATCTAAACTTTAATAATATTTTTTTTCTTCCATTATCAGGAACTTCAAAATGAGCTCAAAAGAACAAAAAGGGAAATAGAATCTGGCAGCTATCTGGCAGAAAGACTCCAGACCATCCTAAGGGCTTATTTATATACACCAGTATTCTAGGTCTAGGAATATAAAATAATGTTATTTATGGTACCTCTCTTAAGGAATGACAAATGATAAAAATTTTAAAAACAATTCCATAATAAATTAAGACTATGTCTAACGGTTAAGTTGGTAAAGATTACAAATATTTTAGGAATGAAGGGAATGATATCCTACAATTTTCCCAAAGATGTCAAGTGACATTAATATGAGACTATTCATTTCAATAGTATTTGAGATAACAACAAAA